TATGAGGAGTCCCGCCGCCGTGGGGGGGGGGGGGGGGGGGGGCGAGGCGATTTCTCTCGGGATTCATTTGCGAGTGCGTTTGGTATTCATGTTCTTGTCAATTGAAAAAAAAATACTACCTCATTCAAATGCTGCTCGAGCGGGAAATGATGCGGCAACGCTGCTATCCTGCATTGCGTTTTTTCACACTGTCCACTTTTCATGCGATCACGCAAATAAATAAAAAGCAGACAGTTGCCGCATGGGGGCGAAACAAACAGTGACAGTATGCAAAAGATCCTGAGTCACCAGTTTAGTGGTGCAAGGCGAGCGCACTTCGAGTGGGTTAACCGCAGCTGTGGAGCCTCAAGCGTCGCATGATTTATTGAGGGCAATTGGCGAGTGTGAAGTCACCAGTGAGAGCCATGTTGCTTTACTCATCTGATTCCTATGTTGTCTTGCAAGTTCGGTGATGGCATGGCATTGATTTTTTTATTTTTTTTTTGGACTCCCTTTGTCTCAGGAGAACAAGCAGCATTAGGTGAGAAGGAGTAGGCAAACTGTTGGCGCGAATCTTTTTGTTAGCTTGAAAAAAAAAAGATGCTCGAATAGCTCGTCGGTGGTTTGAGTTTGGAGGAATTCTCTGACCCCCTCACTACGTCCCATCCATCATGTCATCCATCATCTATCACATTTACTTAACCACAGGCAACACTCCTGCAGTGCTCAGATTTGTTCAAGAAACGTGTTTACTCTTGACTCGAAGGTCATTCATGACGAAAGTAAGGTATTCTTGTCAGCGCCTCACAATAAATCCACCCACTCATTTCTGAGGTCAGATCTGCAAGGAAGTGTGCCTCATGCATTCTTAAATGATGTTCTGTTTTTTTTTTTTTTCCTAGACAGAGGGCAAAAATGTTTTCGTTGCAGAACGGTCCAATAAGGAATACAAATACCGTTCAGGCTGCAGATTAAGCTTTCCACTTAACAGCCCTGACAAAATAAACACAGACAAGAAGGAGACATTGTGGGCCGGTCAATCTAAAGAGAGGCAAACAAGGTATCGGGAAGAAGAGTCGATGAAAGACATCACCAGCAGGCAAACCATCAAAGAGAACAGACTTTTGACTGTGTGTGTGTGTGTGTGTGTGTGTGTGTGTGTGTGTGTGTGTGTGTGTGTGTGTGTGTGTGTGTGTCTTCTTTTCATGTGAGTTTGTTTTTACTCCGCACCTGAGTGGGAAGCTGGCACTTAGTCTGTAATTAAGCCAATCAAAAAGATGAAGAGACAGACGAGGAAATGCATACACAGATGCAAATATAACACACATCACAGAGATGAGAGTGAGTCAGTTACTCAGAGACAAAAAAAAAATTGTAGCGGTACTCAAGTAAGAGTACTGCTACTTGAGAATAATACGGCTCGAGTAAAAGTAAATGAAGTCCTCAACAATATCGCAGAGACTAAAACAATAATAAGTGGAATCCTTATAAAATAACAAACATTCCATCAAATTTCGTCACCAGAAATGGTCTGAAATTATTATTTTTTTGTTAACACTTGTGAAACAGCCCAAGTTTCAAGTGGCGTTCTTGTAGGCTGAAATGTGGACATTTTTAGGCAGACCCAGATACCGCGCATGACTTAGCATTGTTGCATTGAAACAATTCTGACAAGTACAATCTTCCACATGTTTGTGTCCCAGTTAAGTATGTCAAAAAGCACATCTGTGAATTGGTTTTTGTGTTGTATCATCGTAATTAAAGACTCATTTCAATGTTTTTTTTCTTCAATATGAGCTGTGCTTAATGTGAGCGTCAAGAAAATGACCCAAAGGAAAAAAATTGCTTCAGCAAACAAATCAGAGATCAATCAGCATCCGCAATTGACGTTCCACTGTGTTTAAACTGACCTCGAACCTTTGAGCTATCCCAAATTGGGCAGCATGTTAACTTGGAAACATGATTTTTCAGTGGCATCTGGGTAAAGTGATATTTTCCAAGGAAATGAGGTCCAGCTGTTGTTTGACGTTTGCTTCTGCTCGCAAAGCTGCAAATCACTTCACGCGTGTGTTTATTTTCACGTCCGGCTGATGCGATGATATCGCTAATGAGTTGCGTTCATCTTCGCCATCATTTAGCTCCTGACATCTTTGATGGCTGCTCTGTTCATTGTCCGTGGAGAAAAGTGACAAAAGAAGAAAAGTGAAAGAAAGTACTTACAATTGCAATTCGGTTGTCATCAAACCAGAATGCTGAAGAAAGAAAGGAATACAAGCACGATATGTTTCATGTCCGTGTTTGTGAACAGTTCTTTTGGCTTTGTTACAGCTAAAGCGGTGAAGGCTCAATATCAATAAAACATTGTATTGAATTCCCTTTAGCATAGCACCATCTAGTGGATGCATAGCGCGCCCGCAGTCACTATTGTAGCTTCTATTCTATGCACCTTATTAATGCGATGCGCCCTAAGGCCATTCATTGAAGGTGCACCTTATAATCCGAAGCGCCTTATACAGTGGTACCTCTACTTCCGAATGTCTCTTCATCCGTAATTTTCAAGTGATGAAACGTCTCAACAGGAAAATATTGCCTCTTGTTATGAAAGAAATTTCAAGATACGA